TCTTTTAAATAAAGTTTAAAAAAATTAATAAAGAAGCATGTATCAGCATGAAAACAACCACTTTCAAATATCTGGCCACTTAAAGTTTCACTGAACATGAGAGCATAGCTCTGTATGACTTTGGTTCATACTGCATTCCTCTGCCAGGCCCTTCCACCATGCATTTCTGCTTTGCAGCCCAATAAACATGGTCTGAACTGTTCAATATCAGGATCAAATATATACCTCTCATTCTTCAACTGTGTTTGTCAAACATCTTGGCCCAGAGACGGAAATATTAGAATACTATTTTATAGGCATCCAAGTGATTCATCTCTTAAATATATACCATAAGGTTAAGATCAGAGTATAAGTTTTAAAAGCTTGTTGTAAATTACACATAATTTTTTTTATTTTAAAGAGAGTAGTAAATGAGAAACAAACAAACAAAGAAATAGAAAAGTAGCAGCATACCAACATCACAAACATAAACAAATCAAAGGAAGAACATTCAAAGTGATACAGAGTCTCAAGCAAAATAGTATGAATCAACAGTGGTTGTTACTTCACATATCGCTATCCTCAAATACATTGCTCAGATTACCCAATGTAAGAATGAAAGTTTGCTCAAATCATTATAGGGAATAAGAAAATAATTCTTCAATAAAGCATTAGAGATAATACAGAGTTTCACTAGACAAGATGGTAGGAGTTCACCATTGTAATTCCATTGCATATTGTTACCTTCAAATCAGTTGCTCAGACCACCAGACACAAGCATGCACAATCGATCAGAACATAATAAATTATAATCACTAACTTTTCATTTCAGTACACCATCAGACATCAGCAATACAGTCATTGCAGCTATTCATACACATAAGATTTTAATAGTAATTGTAACAACTATTGTTACAGGTGACTCTTCTCATGGGAAATATGTCCTCTTCTATCTTAAGGTATATAATGAAGGCTCCGCATATAAATCACTATCTGGGGGCTGGGGATTTAGCTCAGCGGCAAAAGCGCCTGCTTGGCAAGCGCAAGGTCGTGAGTTCGGTTCCTGGTACCGGAGAAAAACCCCCGAAAAAAAAAAATAAAATAAAATAAAAATAAATCACTATCTGCTTCTACATAGTATGTAAGAGATCCAGAATAGCCAAAACAATCTGGAAAATAAAAGTTGAAGAACTAAAAACATATATCACAAGACTGATTATATACCTACTGTAATAAGTTAATGAAACATTTGAAAAAAACTTGAAGG